CTTCCTTCCTTTCTTTCTTTCTTTCTTTCTTTCTCGTGTGTGTGTTTTTCAAGACAGGGTTTCTCCGTGCAGCCTTGTCACTTCTCCCCGTTGGTGAGGTAGAGGATGAAATCTTGTCGTAACTGACCCTCTAGCTTTGAGCTCATGTTTCCACCACCAGGAGGAATGAGAGAAGCAACTAGCCTACTGATTCTTAAGGGCCTGGGGCTAGTTCTCACTGTCTGTCCTGTGACAGGCTTCAGAGGACCTTCTCAAGGAGCACTACATCGACCTGAAGGACCGCCCCTTCTTTACTGGCCTCGTGAAATACATGCACTCAGGACCAGTGGTTGCTATGGTGAGTGTGTCTGTGTGGGGTGTTGATGGGAGTGACTCATGTGGGTGTAGAGCAGAGTGAGTGTTGCGTTTCCTGTGTTGGGCACCAGACCCTCCTTGTGGCAGAAGAAGCAGGCTAGTGGGGTGAAAGTTGACTCTCTGACCCACCAAAGAAAGTGTCCATTTGCTTTCCACGACCCGAGACTGGGAGAAATCAAGAGCGATCTGCTTGATTGCATTCCCATGGAACAGAGGGAGCTTAGTGTATTACAGTACCACATACAGTTTCAAGAGTGAGCTTGCTGTAGTTATGATTGCATTCCCATGGAACAGGGGGGCTTAGTGCATTACAGCACCACATACAGTTTCAAGAGTGAGCTTGCTGTAGTTATGCCTTTCTAAACACTTCAGATACAGCTGCAAGACAAAATAGTGTCTGTTTTCATTCTTTCTGAAAATGACTTATTGAGACAGGGTCTTAATCTGTAACCCAGCCTTGTGACCTATATTTCGCTGTATAGCTCAGGCTAGCCTCAAATAGCCCAGGCTGTCTTGGAGCTTTGGAGTCTCCTACTCAGTGTACTGGGATTACAGGCGTGCATCACCACACCAGATACAACGTTACTTTTCAAAGTAGAGAAAGGAGATTGGAATGGATGCTGGTAAGAAGGAAGACAGGATGAGAAGTGCACATCCTGTCACAGCTGTGCTTTAGCTCTCACCAGTACTGGGAAGTTATGGGAGATACCATATTTAGCATTTTGTTTACTTATTTTGTTTTTTTGTGACAGCATCTGTCCTAGTCAGTGTTCTATGGCTGTGAAGAGACACTGACCACAGCAACTCTTATAAAGGAAAGCATTTAATTGGGGCCTTGCTTATAATTTCAGTGGTTCAATCCATTATCGTCATGGTGGGGATCATGGCTGCATGCAGGCAGACATGGTACTGGAGAAGTAGTTAGAGTTCTATATCTGGATCTGAAGGCAGCAGGAAGAGGGAGCCATTGGGCCTGGCTTGCTCTTTCTTTCTTTCTTTCTTTCTTTCTTTCTTTCTTTCTTTCTTTCTTTCTTTGATTTATTTATTTATTACGTATGTAGTATTTTGCCTGCATGTATGTCTGCAGGCCAAAAGAGGGCACCAAATCTCATTATAAATGGTTGTGAGCTACCATGTGCTTACTGGGAACTGAACTCTGGGCCTTTGGAGACTCTGGCATCTCCCACATCTTGGGGTCTCCAGCACAGAGTCTTTCTATGTAGGCATGACTGTATCCTGGAGCTTGTTATGTAGAACAGGCTGAATTTACAGAGACCATCTATCTTCCTCTACCTCTGGAGTGGTGGGATTACCTCAGTGGCAATATTTAGCATTTAAAAAGGCCACTGACTGCCCTGTGAATGGATCTGGGGAGGTTAAGAGTCCAGATGAAGGGTGGCCAGCCTCCCTTGTACTGGAACATACAGGCATTCTGTTAGTGAATGAGAGGGCCCTATTCTCAAGGCTTTTTCTTTTTCTTTTGAATCCCCAGATGCCAGGTTTTCTACTGAGAGTGTTTTTTTTTTTTCCCTTGACCGTGTATTCTTTTGTCCTTGGAGGTCTGGGAGGGGCTGAATGTGGTGAAGACTGGCCGGGTGATGCTGGGAGAGACCAACCCTGCAGACTCTAAACCCGGAACCATTCGAGGAGACTTTTGCATCCAAGTTGGCAGGTAAGAATTGGTGTTTTTTACCCTTATCCAAAATCTGTGTTAGTTGCCACAAGTATTTGGGCCTCTAAGGCTAAAAATGAACATAATACCATCTGTGGGTCAATTTCTTTTATTTTAAATAAAGATGTATTTATTACATATACAATGTTCTGCCTACATGTATGCCTGCGTGCCAGAAGAGGGCACCAGATCTCATTACAGATATGTGAACCACTGTATTGTTGCTGGGAACTGAATTCGGGACCACTGGAAGAGCAGCCAGTGCTCTTACCCACAGAGCCATCTCTCCAGCCCCCTATTTATTTTATCTTTTAAAGTTCATTTTTACTCTTTCCTTTTTCTTTATGTATATGGATGGTTTTCCTGCCTGTATCTTTGTGTACTGCTTTCATTTCTTGGTGCCCGAGGAGGCTAGAAGAGGGCATTGGATCCCCTAGAACTGGAGTTACAGATAAGTTTTGAGCCCCATGTGGATGGTGGGAACTAAACCCAGGTCCTCTGGAGGACTAGCCAGTGCTTTTAACAACTGAGCCATCTCTTCCACCCCTAGCTTAGCTTTTTTTGCTTTTTTTTTTTGGTTTTTCGAGACAGGGTTTCTCTGTGGCTTTAAAGCCTGTCCTGGAACTAGCTCTGTAGACCAGGCTGGTCTCGAACTCACAGAGATCCGCCTGCCTCTGCCTCCCGAGTGCTGGGATTAAAGGCGTGCGCCACCATTGCCCGGCCTATTTTTTTGTTTTTGTTTGAGACAGGATTTCTCTGTGTAGCCATGGCTGTCCAAGAACTTGGCTTTGTAGACTAGGCTAGCCTTGAACTCACAGAGATCTGCCTGCTTCTGTCTCCCAAGTACTAGAATTAAAGGCATGAGCCACCATGCCATGCAAGTTTAGTTGTATTTTGAAACAATGTCTCAAGTATGCCAGCTAGCCTCAAAATTGCTATTCTTGAATTCTTTCCTTTCCTTCCTTCCTTCCTTCCTTCCTTCCTTCCTTCCTTCCTTCCT